CCTCTTTCCAAGGGTTCAGGTACAAATGTACCACCAAGTACCCACCAATAGCAATAAATAACTATCAGGTACCACTCAAAAAGAGCAACCTAGCTTATTTTATTTACAATGAAAAATATGAACAGGTTCTTCACAGAAAAAAGTGTACAATGCAGTCTACATGGTTTCACAGCAGTTAAATTGTGACAGGAGGAATGTAATACATGTGGGTGTGTTTGATCTCCCAAAAGCACCTTATATGATGAGCTACCAAATACTTCTGTAAGCACCTGACATAATATGATCTTTAATGAAATACCATCTCCAGAATGGTCTCAGAATTATCCAAATTTTTATATATGTACTTTATTTACACAACACACAAGGGCAGCAGCTACAAACTTCATTGATCAAAGACATCTCTTAACATTCCAGGGGATAACCCCCATAACAGGAAATGAATTATCTCAGGGTCAGAGTAAGGATTTACAAATAAACTTATTACTCAGTTTATGAAAGTCAGACTAACCAAAGTGTGTGCCTGGAACATGGTGCCATTATCAACGAAAGCTGCACCCTGCACCTCCAATCCATTAAATCATGAACTGATGGAATTTGTGTAATCTTTACACATGGGGATAAGTAACAACAACAAGAAACACTCAGTTTATGGAATGATAATTTTTTACAGATCCTGTGGTGAAATTTGTGATAGGTATATGATTAGTTGGTAATTTTTTCAATTTGCATCCTTCCAACATAATAGAATAGAACCTCTATGAGAAGACACCTCTCTACAAAGGATAGTTTCATCACTAAAACTACCTTTTTTACTAATTAGCAAAGAGAACAGCTCAATAAAGCACAAATCGGATTATATATTATAGCTACAAGAAAATAAGACCTAATTCAAATAAATTAATAGTGTGTGACATTTCACGAACAGCATTGTTACCATCATCAGACAAAAGAATAAATGATGATGGTAACAACGCTGTTACCGAAACGTCACACACTATTTATTTATTTGGATTTGGTCTTATTACCTTGTAACGAAGGCGATAAAAACATGATTTTCTTTTATTGAAAAGTTGTAACCTGCGGAAGGGCATTCTTGCCTGAGAGCTTGTATTTTATCAATAAAAGAAAATCACCACGTTTTTATCGCCTTCGTTTCAAATATTATTGCGTGGCCACGTCATGTCTTATTACCTTGTGTTTATAAACTATAATCCAAATTGTGCCGTATCATACTATCTATTTATTTGGATTAGGTCTTATTTTCTTGTAAAACACCTCTCCTTAAAGGACACTTTGACTCTGCAACTAGGTGTCTTGTGGAGGTAGTGCTTATCTCCCTGGTTAAACCAATTCCTGAAGTCTACTCCTCTCCAATTTTACGATGGTAGTTATAGGCCTGGAAAATAGTTCCTCTATTTAGGTGTCTTGTACTGTACATCAAAGGCTGGTACTATTCAGTGTTTACAGCATATGCTGTAACTACCTTGTTGTCACCAGATGTGGGCGGCTTGTCGGCCACTCCAAACACCTCGTCTATCTTGCCTCTGGCCTCGCACACCTGGGGGTCAGGTTCCACAGTGTAGGTGCCAGTCTCACTCTTGTCGTCAGGGTGGTCCTCTGGGGAGTTCTGGGGGGCGGAGCCTGGCTTGCGCGGACTGCCCGGGGGATCCCCATTGAGCATACGCTGGATAAGGTAGGATGCTGAGTCACTCAGCTTGCTCCCTGCACTGCTGCTGGACACGCGAGCTGAGCAGGAACTGCCATGGGGGGGACTTGCTACAGTCCTCTGTACTACTGGTCGAACCTGTCAAGTTCAGTTAGTACCTATACATTGAGGATTGTGGGTCAACTTACGTCCGCTGGAACTGCCCTTCCTCTGGTGGTGATGGCTTTCAGAGGGACGGGAGGAATGGGGCCGGGGGGCGCCCTGAACACCACCACACCATGGTATAGAATACTCTTTCAACAGCACAGGCAAACTTTGACCTCAACCAACAGCACACTAGTCATGACTTTTCAAAGTTCTGAGAGCTAAGGACCAATGCTAACCTATCTGATCCAAGATATAAAAAGCAGATTTGAAATAGAAGAGAGTCAGTTATCATTATTATTATTTTTTACCCACTTAAAAAATGTTTAATACATCTTTGTTAGAGCAATTTTTGAAAATCATATTTTGTACTATTTTTTAAACAAAATAATAATAATACAAAAATCATTTTAAAATATATTAATAGAGCTATATTGAAAAGTTTTGCTTTTAAAAAATTGGCTAAATAAATGGTAACAAGATTAAATACAAATTATAGAAATGTTTATGAAGTTTCGGTAACTGCAAATTATTGTTGGGATTATTTTGAAAATAATCTGAACTAAGTGGAACTCCCATAAAATTTGTAACAAATAAATTTACTGCCAATGTGTTTCTTTTCAATAATATCATCAAATATTATCTCTACAAACCTTACTGCAATGGTATAAGTTATTGAATGAGAGGGCTTAGCGCATTCAATAACTTATATCACTGCAGTAAGGTCTGTAGAGATAATATTTGATGATATTATTGAAAAGAAACACATTGCCAGGGAATTTATTTGTTACAAATTTTATCGATAGATGGCAATTGAATTTATAAACTCTCATAAAATTGAAATTCAACAGAATATTCATCCATTCCTTGGAGTGTTGAATCACACACAAGTTGGGTGGCAACTTTCTAAACTTACAAAACCCCCTATATAAATGATTTGCCCAGATGCCACTGCGGCCTAGGTATGAAAACTCTGGGGGTCTTCAACAACCATTATTCAGGATCAAATACTGCATTGAGAAATTAAAAAAAAAGGCTTCAATATGGACCCTCTTGCACAAGTCCCCCCACCAAAGAATACAAGTAGCTAAACAAGCTGAGCTGCTCTCTATATGTGTAGACATGCGGCGGGCCACTTACACTTATAAGCAGTTTGAAAGCTTTGATAAAGGAGATTTGGAAAACTAAATACAAACGTAAAAAGACAAGGTGATAAGATTAAATCCAAATAAATAAATAGTGCACACTAAATGTAAACACACTATTTATTTATTTGGATTTGGTCTTATCACCTTGTGTTTACAATCTATAATCCAAATTGTGCATTATCAAACTTAAAAAGAGTTTTGCAAAGTTTACAATTTATCTTTATATCACAGTTTCAACTTCCTTTCAGTAATTGCAGATAGAGTGGCACTTTGTTATAACAGCAAAACTTGGTTATAGCATCCTAATTCTAAAAGTTTCAAGTCTCAATTGTTTTACTGGTGGTTATAAGATCAGTCCCACACCAAGTGGTGTTGTAACAATAATGTTTTGACTGTATTAATCTATCTTAGTATTTTTTCACAATACAGTGAATCAATAACCTCTAGAGTAAGTTCTTCAAGGAGACACTGAGATTTAAAACTATAATTTTGAGGTAACCTTAAGTAAAGAGGCAATTTTTCAATGGATTAAAAATAATGTCAGTTGGGTAATTTTGGTCTTAATAAATGCAAAACTGTTCTAAACTTGGCTGCATCAATACTGTAGTTATCAAATGGTCTTAAAGAACAAAAGTCAGGGGGGGGGGGCTACCAAAGAGGATGACCTCACCTTCTTGGCGCTGGAGGGAGGGACCACAATGGGGGTGTCGGTGGACTTGGAATGCTTCAGTTTGGGGGCAGCTGGGGCTGTGCGTTCAGGGACCTCTGCTTTCCTAGGGGCAAACTTGCTGATACTGTCCTTGATGCCCAGCTTCTTCTTGGGCACTGCTACGTTCTCTGTGTCAAAGGCTATGGTGAATGCCATGGAGACGGGGGAGGAGTCTGTTTTGGTGGCAGTGGTGGGGGGCGGGGGGGTTGCTTCCTGGGGGCGGCATGACAACAGCCTCTCCCCCCCATCTGTCTTCTCAGCTGGGGTGGCGGGATGTTTGCCTGACTTGAATGGGCTGTCCACTTCTGCCAGGGGTGGGACTGATGTTGGCCTGGCCTTGGAGATGACTGGAGTCACATCTTCCAGGGAGTCGTGGAGGGAGCTCTTGGAGTCTGTGCTGTGGACATCGGCTATCTCCACCTGCTGAGATGGAGGTGGTTCCTCCGGCGGCTGCACACATGGCCAGTTACACCCAGTCCTGGCCAAACACCTGGCCAGCTTCCTTACCTGAGGTGGGGGTGCTGAGGGTATGACTACCGGAGGACTTTCCTTGGCAGGGCTTAGTTTTTTGGGGGAGGAAGTTGGGCTTGGCACTTTTTGTACAAAAAATAGATCTGGCCGTAGAAGAAGAAGAGGTTAAGGGGAGATATATATTCAGAAATTAAACATTGAATTCATGAGACGACAAAAGGTATTTGTAAACTGTCCCTTTTTGACAATTAGGACCCGGTATCTGCATGGAGCAGTTTTGTTAATTCTTCCATGACATTTTCACAAGTCCAACCCCCCACCAATGAGTATAGAAAGTCACAAATCATTATCATGTTAGGTAAAGACCAACCTATACTTGGAATAAATCACACAACACCAGAAACACAACAGAGTAGAATGTTGAAAACAAAGGATATCAAAGCCAAACCGAATGGTGTCCATAGTTTTGAGGGGGATGTAGGCCTGACCGGAGATACGGACGTTGTTGACGTAGGTCTGGACAAGGCAAGATGTCAAAGGCCCGTTAACATGTGTCTACACATCACTTACCCCCGTCAGGCTGTTTAGGTCCTTGATCCGGACCTCCTCGCCCTCGTAGAATATCACAGCATGCCGCTTGTCCACACTGGTAGACTGCTCACACACCAGTAATGTAAGCCTCCAGTCACACTCTATAGTTACACAAGTCTAGGTGGAAACCTAGCTGGTAGTAACAAATCTAACTGAGTTAACTAAATACACAGTAGCTACAAGAAAATATGACCTAATCCAAATAAATCAATAGTGTGTGACATTTTAGTAACAGCTTTGTTACCATCATCAAACAAAAAAATAAAAATGATTGATAACATTGAAAACACTGGTTCTTGTCCGATCACTTAAGTTAAGCAATGTCGGGCCCGGTCAGTTCTTGGGAGGGTGACCACCTGGGAACACCGGATGCAGCTGTAGGCTATTACCTTTAGTTTTTTAAATTCTTTTGTCTGATGATGGTAACAATGCTGTTACCGAAATGTCGCACACTATTAATTTATTTGGATTAGGTCTCATTTTTTGTAGCTATAATCTATAATCCAAATTGTGCTTTATCGTAAATACACAGTAGTAAACCCCTCTAATAAAGTATTATGTATTGACAACAGAGTATTGTTGTCATTGACTTGTTGTGTAGTTATTTATCATCATCATACATGTGTATATAAGCGAGACCAAATAAAGAACTATCATCTTGAGTCACCTGTTTACCTCTCCTAGATCTTACATGTCATTGAAGATATAACATGAGGTCTTCAAGGAGACTAAGGTTAGAGAACCTTAATACAGTAGCACCTCTCTGTAATGATTTTAAGCTTTTGTCTGATGATGGCAACAATGCTGCTACCGAAACCGCAATCTTATTACCTTGTGTTTTTAATTTATTATCCGAATTGTATCTTATCATAAACCCAAAAGAGACATACAAAATAAATACAGTAGAACTTGGATAATTCAAACTTCTTTAATTCGAAAACCTCTTTAATTCGAATATTTATCTTGGTCCCTAGAATTTCCTATATAAATAATGTTAAAAAATCGTGGTTAATTCGAATTATGTCTTGGATAATTCGAACTTTTACGAGTTAAAATAAGGACCTGATGCCGGTTCAAGGCGTGAAATTTTGCGAAATGACGTTGTAATATTGTAACAACAAATTTGTTATTTTATTATTATTAATTATTTTCTTAACAGAGTTATCAATTTTTATGTTTATATTTTGCTACTCTGTAAACTTCCCTCATTGCTTATCTTTTATTTTATCAATTATAGTTTGTCCTTGCCTTAAATAAATTGCTGTGTCACGCCGAAGTTTGTCTTTCCTAATTTTCCACGTGGCAATATCTTGCCGCAAGAGAAGTTGTTGTTGTTTCTTATCCCCTTGTGTAAAGATTACACGAATTCCATGACAAATCAACATCTGATCTCATGGAATGGGGTATAGGGGTGCAGCTTTCGTTGATCATGGCACCATGATCCAGGCACACTTTGGTGAAAGTCTGACTTTGCCTGTAGTTTGAGGCCGTTCCTAACATGGAAGCAGACGCCTTTGCTGCCGACTCTAACATGAGTACAGACACAGCTCCTCCGTATCCCTGGAGTGGGACCCTTGCTGAGGTCTATCAACTGGGTCAGTTGAAGTCAGGATTTTTAAAGAGGTCTACTCCTCTTCTAACAATGCTGCTGTTGGTCCGCGACTGCTTATTCGTCAGAGTTATTCTGCTTGTTTCGCAGCTGGCCTTCATATCTGAAGGTCGTTCCCCTATCCGCCACCTGGGGACGCGCCCTATAGCAGTCAGCTCTGCCAAGGGGCAAGAGAAGTACTATATATAATAAATTTATTTTTATTGGATTTTTGAGACTCCTTATTTATCAAGAAATCTAAAAGGAGCGAATATGTCGGCGCTTCGAACATACAAAACTTTGACGTTGGCTGAAAAAATAGCGGCGATTAAAGAAGTAGAGATGGGGATGAAAAAAAAATCCAATATTGCTAAGGACTTTGGGATTCCTCGAAACACGTTGTCGACGTACTTAAAAAATAAAGAAAAAATTCTCAGGAGTGAAAGTGAGTGTGATAAAGGCCGAAAAAGGTTAAGGGAGCCGGGAAATCCTGATTTGGACAAATGTGTTTTAAAATGGTTCAAGCAAGCAAGAGATAAGAAGATTCCCGTGAGTGGTCACCTTATAAGAAGCAAAGCTGAACAATTTGCTACTGAAATGGGGAAAACCGATTTTAAGGCGAGTTCTGGGTGGCTAGATGGCTTCAAAGGACGCAACAAAATTTCGTTCAAAACCATTTGTGGAGAAAGTGGGGCCGTTAATCTACAAGTAGCCGAACAATGGAAAAATAATTTACGGGAATTGATCCAGGATAAAGACGCTAGAGACGTCTTCAATGTTGATGAAACGGGTCTTTTTTTTAAATGCACCCCTGACAAAACGCTAGCTTTTAAGCATGAAAAATGTCACGGGGGAAAACTAAGCAAAGAGAGAGTCACTCTCCTGGTTGGTGCAAATATGGATGGATCTGAAATGCTTCCTCTATTGATGATAGGCAAGGCAGCCAATCCACGTTGTTTCAAGAACGTCAAAACGAAGCCAGTGGACTATGCAAACAGCGCAAGAGCTTGGATGACTAGTTATCTTTTTGAGAAGTGGCTGTTGAACTTGGACAAAAAGTTCACAAAAGAAAAACGAAAAGTTATTTTATTTATCGATAACTGTACTGCACACAACTCAATCCCTCCAATGGAAAATGTGGAAGTAATTTTTTTTCCTGCCAACATGACTTCGGTTATCCAGCCCATGGACAAGGGAGTCATCAAAAATCTTAAGCATTTTTACAGACGGTTTCTAGTTGAGAACATATTGACAGGAGATTCCGAGCCCTTAAAATCAAACTAGACGTTCTTCAAGCCTCTCGATTGTGTAAGAAAGCTTGGGACCAAGTAACGTCCGAAACGATCAAACACTGTTTTAAAAAAGCTGGTTTCGTAAAAAAGGAGGAGGATGAAGAAAATGCAGATGATATTATAGCGGAAACGATGCCTTCAGTTGACGGCTGGGAGGACGTCATTTCTAATCCTACCATCTCGTATGACGATTTCTTAAACGTGGATGACGATGTTGCAGTATGTGGTGAGATAACCGACGCAGATATCATCGCTGAAGTGCTCAACCACAACATTGAAAAACAAGACGGCGACGAGGCATCGGGTGATGAAGACGAGTCATCAGTTGCCGGGGAAATGAACGTTCCAAGTGCGGCCGAAGCAACGAACTATATCATGCAACTTAGACGCTTTTTTGGTAAAGTAAAAATGACGTAAGTCCCTCTATTTTCCATTCGTTGAATATGTTAGAATCCTTTGTCCTTACTGAAAGACTTAATTCTAGAAAACAGGCTAAGATTTCTGACTTCTTTGGCAAAAATTAAATTTCAGAGTTCCAACGAAGCAGAATAATCTGTACATTTTTTTAACCAGCAATCTGCCTTTTTTTTGTACATTAATACATCAGTTTTGAAATTTTTTAATATGTATCTAGTATATACATACAATTATTGCACATAATAATTAGTGTGTGACGTTTCGGCAACAACATTGTCACCATCATCAGACAAAAGAATAAATGAGAAAACATGTTACAGCAAGTTCTTATATAGTCCTGTTATCAACTGTTTAAACAAGTTGTTTAAACACTTGATAACAGGACTATATAAGAACTTGCACTTGTTTAAACACTTTGATAACAGGACTATATAAGAACTTGCTGTAACATGTTTTCTCATTTATTCTTTTGTCTGATGATGGTGACAATGTTGTTGCCGAAACGTCACACACTAATAAATTATTTGGATTAGGTCTTATTTTCTTTTATTATAATCAATTATCCAAATTGTGCTTTATTATTGCACATAATCTAAATATACGGTAAACATGTAAATTTACAGCAACTAATGTTATTCTCAATAAAGGAATTGATCGAAATTGTGAGATTTTTATTGTTTTAAGCCTTTTTATTCAAAACATCTTTAATTCAAATTTTTGGATAATTCAAATTTTTTTATGGTCCCTTGGGGTTCGAATTATCCAAGTTCGACTGTATATTCTAATATTAATTATTTACAGTTGTATCTCTCTATAACAATATCACTTGGGAGTAAAATTTTGTGTTTAAACATAAGGTTAAAAATACACAATTTATATAAGAAATGTTTCTTTTTCATATAAAACAAACTTTCTAATGTCATTACTGCAATGAAAAATATTTGGAGGGCTTGGCTCATCAGTGGGGAACCCTCCCAGCATTTCCCAAATTCAATCGACCAGACAGGTTTTAGAGCTCCAAAATAACAAGGTAATGAGACCAAATCCAAATAAATTAAGAGTGTATTAGAAATACAAGATAATAAGACCAAATCTAAATAAATCAATAATGTGTTATTTGTATTTTGTCTTATTATCTTGAAGTTCTAATCTATAATTCAAATTGTACCTAGAAGAAAATAAGACCTAATCCAAATAACACACTATTCATTTGGATTTGGTCTTCTTGTAGCTATAATCTATAATCGAAATTGTGCCATCTCATCTAAATTGTACCTTATCAATCGAACTCCAAAACAATATTACAGATTATGATGTTTTGAAAATAGGGCAATCCATAAATAAATCTTTAAATAAAAAGGCATATATTGGATCAAAATATCATTTATTTTACCAATATTTCAGTTGGCTGAACGCCAACCTTTATCAAGGTATTATAACATAATAAAAGTGTGTCAACAACAAACTCAGCGCCACATAACGTCAATAGAATTAAGTTTTACACAAATAAATTTACTGGCAATGCGCTTCTTTTAAATATCATCAAATATTGTCTCTACAGACCTTACTGCAATGATATGAGTTATTGAATGAGAGGGCTTGGCTCATCAGTAGTGAACCCTCTCAGCAGTTTCGCCAAATTAATCTCTAGACCGCTCTACTATTGTATTGGATTGGTTTGGAATATACCCTGTATTTTCTATGGAAGGCAGCTTAGGGGTGTTTAGTGAACTATGGACATAAGCTTATAGGTCTGTAAAGGAACATACATATAATTTCAAGGTATTGCATCGAGCAAAGCTCTTCCGCAAATTAAGTTTACAAATATTTTTTGCTTATATTCAATGGGGAGGAAAAAAAAAATTGATATATAAATTTATATTAGATAATAAAAAGGCATATATTGGATTTAATATAAGATTTATTTTGCCAATATTTCGGCTGGCTGAACGCCAACCTTTATCGAGGCATTACATCTTTGTATACACAAACTCAGCGCCGCATAGTGTTATAATATCATTATATAATATTTTAAATGATTTCAACTGTGATATTATAACACTATGCGGCTCTGAGTTTGTGTATAC